AAAATTTTTTTTTTTTTTTTTTTTTTAAACCCCCATAACTTCCTCTTTATTGAGCCTGGGAAGCAAGGCTGGTTTTGTTATTGCAAGTTGGTTTGTGTTTTTTGTCAGAGATGCTTTTATACGTTGTGACCAATGTAGTCACAAAGTGGAGAAGGATTTGGCAGCTGTCTTATCCATTTAAAGCAGGGGTGGGCAAAATGCAGCCCGTGGGCTGGATGTGACCTGCCAGACCATTCTATCCAGCCCACAGGGCCCCTAAAAAATTTAGGAAATATTTATCTGCCCCTGGCTGCCTGTCATGCGGCCCTTGATGGCGTGCCAAAACTCAGTAAGTAACACTTCTTCCGAAATAATCGCCCACCCCCGAGTTAAGGAGTTTACAGGAAGAATTGTTCAGGAGTATTCTGCAGACGTACGGGTCCAGTTCACGTGCCATACACATCATACATTGCAAGACATATTTTGATTTGGCCAAATTCAGTTTGTGAGCAGTGGTGTGTGCGCATGCGCACCTTGATTTACCATTCTCCTGTATTGCAAGGGAAACGAGTTGGGTTAGCATTAAAAGTGTAAACAAACAAGACTGACCAGACATTTTTTACATTAATTTATGCAGCTGCTTCAGTTCCTGTGTGCATGATAGTAATGTCAGATTTTAGTGGGTATTTGTATCTAAACCTTTTACAACAATGGAAGATAAAGGGTTGCATCTTTTACACTTTGGAAAAAGTGCTTACATTTCTGACAAGTCAAATCTTGCTACTTAATGTTTTCAGCATGTACCCTGGAAAAATCCACCTAACATTTTGAATACACTTGAGCTGAAAAACAGATGCTTGTTGAATTTTTTGGCTGTGTAAGAGGCCACTGGAGAAGGCTGTACAGCATTCTGTAATAGTTTTGTTTTGAGGGCCTGTCTAGAAACACTGCTTTTTAATCTTAATGTTCGCATATTTTAGCTGTAATATGTATTATGCAATTCCAGATTCCCATTTACAAATGGAGATGCAAATAAATTTGTCACTTGTCCATATAAAGCATAAAAAAGTAAAACTAACACCAGACTTTCTCATGGGAAGATCTCCAATTTAGATAAATCATCTCCAGTGTGTTTTTAATGGACCAACCCACTAAAATCAGCCCTTCATGAGAGATTAAGTAGTATGCAATCTATATTCATTTTTCCTTTAGAAATAACATTGTTAAACATTCTTCTCCTGCGAGAAATGCACTTAATTAGAGAAACTGTGATTTACAAACCAAAACTAGAATAATAAGTTTGTAACAGGTGCCCTGTGTATCTTCTCATCTTGTGAAACTTCATAAGTGTTCTGACACAAACGTAAAGACTTGATTACTTTTGAGTTTCATGATGCAAAGCTCTGAATGTGATTGTTCTTAAAACTTCATTTGCCACAAAGTGTAATTGCCATAGATACAGTTATGTATAAACAGCTAAATTGTGCTGTACAGTAAGACCTGATTAATTTCCCACTTAAAATAGTAGTCTTTTCGTAGACATTACTTGGAATTAATTAGGTCCTGTATTCTTCACTAGATGGGAAAACAGGTGAGGAGGTATATAATCCAATGACATAATGATAAATATTGTTAATGTTTTTTGCTTCACTAATGAAAATAATGTATTGTAACTATATTATGCAAATGTTGTCTTTTTTAGGACAAAAGACTGTTTTGACAAATGTTCAAGAAGAACTGGATAGAATGACTCGCAAGCCAGACTCGATGGTAACAGCAAACTCTTCACCAACAGAAAATGAAGCTTGATAGTGCTTAAAAATGCATATGTAAATGACCAAATAACTATGTATATTGATCTGATAAGACCAGGAGTTTTCTGCTGTGGCGGATGCTATCAGTTTTCTTGGGGCAGGGGAAATGAACTTAAACTTCATTGGCTTGTCCCAGTATAAAGTGCACATTCAGGAAGTTTGCATATAAAATCCCTCTGTATAAGATAACCATGTAGAGTTTATATAGGGCAATTCTTTTGATTTTGGAGGTTAGCAGGTGCAGCTGCATTTCTTGTTATGAAGAGCACAGAGAAGCAAAATGCAGGATTCCTATTGAAATACTACTACTGACTGCACATGAAGCAAGAAAGACTAAATCCTTTTTCAGAGTTACTGGGATTGGCCATTTGTATGTTTACAAATGCATTTGTATACTTGGAAAGGGGGAGATGTAGCTGAGCATTATTAGATGAGGAAAGAAACCAAGGTAGGAGATGCAGCACAAAAATGGGAAACAGATTTGGCTCAGTGCGGGGGGAAAAAAAGAATGTTGGATGGACTGGAGAGGAGCAATGTTACTAAATCCTGTGGTCAACATAGGGAGAGTAATCACTGTTTTAAAAGGACTACTTTAAATTAGACTTATCAGCCAAACACTAAGCGTAATGGGAAATTATCCTGGTTACATATTGTCTTTAATTTTAGCAAAAAAGAAAAAGTACAGAATGTGGATGCCCTTTTTTGGTGTAGCTGACATGGGAGAAACTATTAACTTGCTTAGATCCAAGTGCCTGGCACTGTGTGATTCGTCCTTAGAAGGTGCTTGAACCTTATTGTGCACTGTAGTACAAATGGTCACTGTTCGGTTTTTATTTTAAAATCGATACTTTTGATGACTTATTTAATTTTAAATCTTATTTTCTGATAGCTCCTGCCTTTTTTCTAAAAATGCCAAGTGGCTAGCCTACTACAAGTGATGGGTGACGCATCATTTTACCATACTGAAAAGTGCTACAGAATACTCAAAATTATCTTTTTTTTATTTTTTATTGTTTTGTAACTTAACATTAGCTACCAAGCTGAAATTGATTCCTGCCTTACACCTGGAAAAGGTTGTCTTTCAAGGACCCTGTTTCCAACCACATAGGCTGGAGTCTATAGCCTACTCCAGTTCTAACAAGAAACTGAAATTATGAATGTGTACATGGTGACTAGAACCAATGATTTTTGTTCTTTGTTTTTTCTTAATGTAGCATTTTCATATGGAAAGATGGATTGCAGTTGTCCCCTGTTGCTGTAACGGAGTTGTGTCCATGGGCACTTCAAACCATCATTCCGTAAAAAAAAAAAAAAAAAAAAAAAAAAAAAAAAAAAAGAAAAAAAAAAAAAAAAAAAAAAAAAGAAAAAAAAAAGAAAAAAAACCAACAAAAAAACCCACAAGCGTATGGTTACTGAAATGGCACTTTGATTTTTATATAAGGTATATCTGTTTTACATATAAACACTACCATAAGTTAAAAGTACCAAGCATATTCTGTGCTCTTATTGCTGAAGGGAAAAAAACCACAATTTGAATTATGCAGAGTTTACTTTTTATGGATATAAACTTGTTGTACTAAATCTGATGTCTGGATATAACTTCCCTAGTATATATTGTTACTTAAATATACAGAATTAGATTGACCACTAACAATAATGGACATAACTTCAAATGCTGTTACATCAAGAGGCTGTTTTTTTCCCTTGTTTTTGTGAGTTTGTCTAAATGCTATCTAGAAAACTAAGAGTATTTACTTGCCTCTTTGACAAACATTAACGTAAGCCTATTACTTGTACCAGTTTTATTTTTTAATGTATTTTTTTTTACTTTTTTTATACAAGGTTAGTTGCACAGTTGTTTAGATTAACAGTTAATCTGTGAGCCTGTGGGCTGCAGACAGGTTGTGTGGTGGTTCTGCCTGGTGTGTGGGATGCCAGGTGCATATTGCCGCACCAGCAGAAGTAATTGCATACTGTCTTTGGACACTGAGGTTTTAAATTGGGAAATAAAACATCAATGGTAAAACCAGAAAATCTCAACAAGTATATGTTCATAAAGGCATACAGTTGTGATGAGAACCTCAGTACAAGACTACAAGACTAATATTTTGTCATTTGAACCGAAAAGCACTTTCTATACTAGTGTGGCTAAAAGTTAAGATTTGAAGTATTTTCCATTTTCATAAAAAATTCTTTTAAGATTGATCAAAGCCAGGAAATGTGTTTATATTTTGTCAGTTGTATAAAAAGAGGCTTCTGACAAAAACAAGTTTGATTTCCACTTTCTTACTGCAAGTGAATGCTCCTAGTTTGTTGGAAGGAAGTTTGTAAGTAATGTAATGTCCAGTGGTTGCCAAAGTCTACCAACTTTGGAGAGCTGCACATTTGTTTTTCTGGTGTTTTCAAGCATTGGAACCAAAGGCCAAACTGCAAACAGCCTTCACGTTTTAAAGTAAAATTTAATTTTATTTGCAGGATACACTTGTATGGTAGACTGTTAAAACTATTATATGACTATATTTATATGCATTATAGTGATTGCATCTACTGTTCATGTTTAAACTAAGAAAATAAAAAAAACTATTCAACTTGAAGATAAGGCAGATATAAAGGTTAAGGATTGGCCCTCCATAAAAATGCTATGGTTATGCTGCTTGATTTTAAGTTTGCACTTTTTTATTGGCGTTTTAAAAACTGTGTTTAAACTGAACAGAACTTGTCATATTTTATTTTATTTAACTATGTTGAAAGTGACTGCTTTGTACATCATGAACTTAACAATATACATGTTGTAAATGAAAGTTCCCTGTCCTGTACACTAAGTTTATTGATATTTTGGTTTGGGTTTTTGGTTTTCTTGGGGTTTTTTTTCAAACTTACAATTAGGACTGCAGATGTATTGAACACAAACGTTAGTCCAACCGTATGGCTTTAACCAGGTGCAGTATGCAGTCATGTGGAATCTTGCTTTCTAGTGCTGGCGAAAATGAGGACGTCTTTAATTATTGGCTTCAATAAACACAAATCCAGACTGCTTTAAAGTTGTGCCTTTTTTCTTAACGAGACCCTTCTAGAACTGTTTTCAAGGGGGAAGGATAAAAGAAGCAAGTGTGAGCTACCTCTTCGTTTAGCACGGTAAGCTAGCAGTAATGGTTTCCTAAGGGAACAGTCCTGTCAGATCTTATGTTTGCAGCACTTCTGTTGAATTCAGTGATCATCTCTATATTACCAGCATTTGATGGCATAATTATGTCAGTCAGGAAGATGCAGAGTTATACCTGCAAATCT